CTTCCTCCTCGTCTTCCTCTCCCCTACCCCCATTCCCCTTTCCACAAGCAGTACAGAGTACACCGTTTCCCTTCGAGTCACATTAATTTGTACCCGCCGGGAGCTGCTAGGGGTCAAAGGTCAGGCGGCTCTCGGTGCTGTCGCAGCCCCGAGAAAGTGGGAAACCAGATCACGCGCTGCTACTCTGTCGCGCCAATCTCACCCTTATGACTGCCGCTTCGCTGTTCTTTGTCTTCAGATTATTATAATAATTACTATCATAATTATCTTCACAAACATCACCTTAACCGTTATCATTATCAGTATCATATTCATAAATGTCAATAATACAATAATACAAAGACGCTCCGTTCTCGCGACTCTTAGCCAAGGTCTATATAAATATATAGACCTTGCTCTTAGCTGGGTGAGTTACATCAACTGTAAGAAGAACGTAATCAAACTGATGGAGGAAAGAAACACAATAGTAAGAAGCATAATAAATATCAAACAAACAGAGAAGAAGAGAAGAAGAAAGAGAGAGTGAGGAAAGAGGTTGAAGGAGAAAAAAGGAGGAGGAGGAGGAGGAGGAGGAGGAGGAGGAGGAGGAGGAGGAGGAGGAGGAGGAGGAGAGGAGGAGGAGGAGAGGAGAGGAGGAGAGGAGGAGGAGGAGGAGAGGAGAAGGAGACAAAGAAAAGACAAAGAAAGAAATGAAGAAAGGTAAGAGGGAAAACAAAAGAAAGAAATGAAGAAAGGTAAGAAGGAAAACAAAAGAAAGAAATGAAGAAAGTTAAGAAGGAAAACAAAAGAAAGAAAGAGTCAAACATACAGAATATGACAATATACTTTTGACAAGCTAAAATGTTAAGCAAGGAGCCACAAAGATTGTTTCTGTAACCCCCCTCCTCCCTCCGCCACATAATAAAAATTTAACATACAGTCCGTGCTTCATCATGTTACCTTACAGAAACAAAACATCAATATCAGCACAATCATTCCTAAGAACAGTCAGATGCTAAATGAACTAGTTTGTCATACCAAAAAACAAATGTCGAATGCAACACCATAAAAACACCATAATACTGCTTGCATCTTACAAAAAGAAACCACTGTATTACAGTTTCATTCTCTCTGGTGTACACAGAAAGTTCTTTATTTTCTATGTAAAAAGCATACATAATACCCATCTTCGGAATATAGGGAAAGGGAAGCTCACAATGAAAAAACACAAAAAACAAGCAAATGCAAAGCAATTCTCCAAACATACATCATCAGCCTCAGGCAGGATAGCAACAGAAAACAGCTAAAAACACAGTGCAGCGCATACAAGACTGTGCAGGAAGTACAGGAGTGCCACAAAACCTTATATGTGCAGGAATACAGGATACTATCAAGGGAGTGTGGAGGAAAATGGATGATGAAAATGGTTAATCATTTCTGTGCCTTGTGCTCTTGAATTTTTTGAGGTAATAATTTTGTTGATAGGAAAATACATTACTTTACCTTTGCTCTTAATCCTATTTGCAGAGAAACTTATCGGGTGAAATCAGAAAAATTTAAAATAATAAAATGACAAAATTCATACAATCTTCAAATAAATACACAAATATATTTTTTTTCACATAAACCCATTTCTTTTTTACTCTAGCATCTGACAACATTCCTTTACAGTTCTAAAATATCATCAAACTAATCTTTCAATGTTCAGATTTCAATAATCACTCCTAACTGTCAAATGAAAACAAAACCAAACGTACCCACAGCAAAGGACCAGTAATGCATATCATCTCTTACATCTATTTAAAAAGTAGAGTACATTAATAACAGAAAGTATTTCGGTTATGCACAGACATGATCAAAGAAAGTGTTGAGCTGCCCTAATCTATGCTATCCCTTTTGTCAAATGCAGGCTACATCACCTACACCAGGGCACAGTACTTCTCTTGGATATAAAGGTTGTACAGCATTTGTTGGTAGATGCATATTTATCACAATAATAAAACAAAGTAGGCTGGCATAATATTGTGCAATATGATTTACATTTCTGACTGGTTTGTTCCTGTAACTACATTGCTATAGTCTAGTCTTAAAGCATAAAAGAAACATTTTATAAAAGTATAATTTTTTTTAGTGATCATCTTAATGCTGGCCTAGAACTTTATTCCACAGCAATAAATGTCAAGGAATTCACAGGAACTTTACTGTACATAGCATAAATACAGCAGTAGTAATACATCAAAGAACTTATCTGAACTCAAATAAAAACACAGTAATGTTTACAAAAGTCTACAATTTACCTCTGTCAATTCTAAATCAATGGATGAGAAGATATTTACAGCTTGAAAATTAACCACTGAAGTACTGTGCACACTGGATTATGTATATATTTAAGAATTAATAATAATAACAAAATTACACCCTCATAGTCTAAAATAAAGGTATTTAACTTGTGTAATTTAAAAAAATACAATCATAAGGTTTAAAAACCACTGCAAATGTTTTGTAACTATATTGTACTCACCATGAAGGGGCGACCGCAAAGCACTGAGATAAGAATTCTGACGAGCTACTGTCTTTTGTCGACTACTGCCCGTTTCGTCCATGGACTGTGTCGATAAGAGACTCGTCATAGATACCTGTGAGCAAACTGAATTGGATCGTTCCCTCTCCAAAACATCTGCAGAAAGAAAGAAAAAAATTATAGATATATAGGATATGCAAAGTAATATTTTACTTTTAAAATTTCGGTTCAATAATCGCCCCAATTGAAACTCGTGTTTTCAATACTTTGTTCATTGTCAACTACGCCAACAGTAAAAAGCAGAAGAAAGTTCTTGCAATACTATGATAACCTAATAAAACCTAAAGTCTTTATGCTAATTATCTATGGACTTTATATGTATAACAAGTATGAATAGGAAAATAAATATATCAATATTACTAGTTAAATCTATGCTTTTTATTTTTGCTTTCATCAATCTCTATAGTGTATTTCAGGTCCTATTACTTAAAAGGGTTATTTCTTCATTACTGAAAAGACATCGTAAAAATGAAGGAAATCTTTAATTTACCTGGGTCACTCTGAGGCCTGTGAGAAGAACCATAAAGAGGTGGTGGTTCACAATGTATATGAGGACCACCGACAGGTATGGTGCGATTTATAGCAACCCGTCTCACAACACCAGCTTCTGACACTGTCGCAGTTTTAACACCCTCTTCTGAAAATAATAGAGAGTATACCTGATTTTACTTCTGGAACCATACAAACATGGGTATATTATAAAAATAATAGCATATAATCTTTTATCTGTCTTGTTATCTTTGAAAACAAAAGTTATTACAAAACCATTTTCAAAAAACAGAAAAAAAGTAAAAACACTTTTTGATGATAAATATTACATCCAAGAAACCATGGCTGATGAGTACATTTACTTTGTAATCATATGAATCAATTGCTATTTGAAATATAACTTTTTACACTTTCTTGAAAAAAGTAACTTTTTTTTAACATGTTTTATATTCTCTAAACCATTAACCTACCTGCTGTTGGCGAGTAGAGCCTCCTATTGACAGGGAACACATTACCTCCGTCAGAGAGAGATCTAAACACCTTAGGAGGTGAAGGAGACATCTCATGACAGACCAGGTCACCTTTCATTAATTCTGCACTCTTACGCTGCCTTGGTGTGTTATTGAAGTGTGTGCCAAATTCAAAGTCAAAACCTATGATTAAGAATGTAAAAACAAAACACTGTAGGACAAAACAACAGCCATACAGACTAATCATGCTGTACAAAAAAAAAAAAGAGAAAATAAAAAGTAAAGCAACCCATACATTTATCACAGGATGTAATTAAAGCAAAGATAAAATTCTACATACACAGAAAAATTAGTATCAGTACACTCAATATTAGTAGTAACCCGTATCTTGGTACATATAATAGTCATTCTTTTGTGCCAATTCCCACCTAGGAATCATAAAAGTTTGCAGGTAATGAAACTCTGCTATTCAAATAAATTAACATGTCCCTATATAGTGATTGTGCATTATTATATATATATTACTGATGATATAACCTATAAAAATCTAATTCATCAATATTCAGATATCTGGCACCTACATTTATAATACTCTTTTTCCTTCCCTTTCTTTCTTAGAGGCTATTAATAATGTTAAATGTCTCACTGGATATTTCTTGAATATTCCCAGTCAAAGCAAAAAATGAAAAGCAAAAGCTATCAATGGCCATCTGCAGAGGGAAATTACCCACTTCTCATAATTAGCATTGATCATGATAGATCATGAATAATACATCCTAGTACCATGTTAACATGACCCACTGAGGCGTTATTGACTAATTATTCTTTAAACTCTATCTTTCCTTCATTCTGACCTAATGAAGTATCTAAATATGAAATATCTAAAGATACTAAAAAAATATGGTTAAATTACTCAAGGATAGGATAAGGTGAATATACAGGATATTCTTCAATATCCATTTTATAACTTAGCAATCTCATACACCTGAAAGAAATGCTTAAAATGATCCGTTCAAGTACAATGACACCTGCCGTACTGAATGAAATATTATCAAAGCTAGCCACTCTCACAACAAAAAAGCCAATGATTGCCAGTCTCAAGCACAAGTTAAGATCACGTTAAATTAAGCCAAAAATATACAATGGACTTTACAAGTATATTCATACACAGACTAGTCCTGGTGGCTGATAGGTTAAATTCATATAGTCACTATAATATTTTCAGTATGCTGGGAATTACCAGCAGCTAGAGTTCAAATATCCAATTTCTAACACACTGTACAGTTATGTGTGTGTACTCTTGAATTAATCATGATGACAATAACATATTCCACAATTATGATACCTGACTACAGTGTTCCTTGAGTACAAACCCATTAAAGATTTCTGAACAAGTTAATTGGAACTAGCCAAAGTCAAGGGACAAACATTTTTTTTTGTTACATCATTCTCTGTTCTAAAACACATGATAGCAAACTCTG